CATTGATTGCTTTATGAGAATAAAAACAATGTCACCATTTCAACTGTCAAGCGTTTGTAAAATGTCTTTTTTTTTAATTGGTAAAGAAACTACAGGATATCCATGTGCTGTATTTGCTTTGAGAGAGTAACGGGTTTAAAGTCTCTCTGCTTTAGAACAATATCTTCTGGGTATGATCTAGCTAGTATGATCATTTGTGCTTACAAGGATAAGAAGTTCCTCTCATGGTCCTTACTCGTCCAGCTTTAGTTCCAACATCCACAGAAAATGTATAAAAAGTCAAAAACGGCACGTTTTACATGCATTAGCAGCTACGGTGGGAAACTGATGTTTTGCTACATTATTGAAGCACAACAACATTTTCTTTCTATATTTGAATCAATTTAAAGAAACATCAAATGAAAATAGCTACCTCAGTTTCACCATAGTGCCAAAGGCTGATGTATTTTTAGTAATCACTAGCTAGGGTTAGAAATAATCTGAGCTAGCGCCTATTAGCAAGCTTTCCATGATCCATACGATATAAGTAATGTTTGTTGCTTTCATTTTCCATGCAAGTACCAAATACACAAAGTTATTTTCTACCAGTGGACCACAGTTTGTCTTCACACTGAAGCTAACGGTGCAGATGTTTTGCGAGTCGTTTTCAGTTTCAGTTTTTATTTGTCATATGCACGTTAGCACAGGGTCAACATTGCAATGAAATGTGTTTGACGAGCAGCAGGCACTCAGCAGCATGATACAGTAGGAGAAAATATAATCAAATAATAAATAAAAAAATAGTAAGGAGCAAAATATTAGAGAGACAGATGACTAAATATATATGTATCTATAAATATAAATATATGTACACTAGTGATTAAATAAGAAAATCTTGAAAAGAAATATGACGGGAGGGCAGATGGGATATTGCACAGGAATGAGCAGCAGAAAATTACAGTATTGCACTTTTAAATATAAATATCAATGACAATAAAGTGGAGTGACCAGTGCAGATTAAACAGAGCTGCAGCTTCTGAGTGCGTCCTGTGGACTGTGTGTGTTTAAGTGTTGTGGTTGAGGTGTCGTATGGCTTGGTGGTAAAAACTGAGTCGTATGAGGACATAAGACAGAAACGCTCGGTCCTGTTAGGTAGACTGGTGACCTGGTCAGGGTCTACCCACCGCTCACCCTATGGCAGCTGGGATAGACATCAGCCCTCCCACACGCCTGAATCAGAAAAGCAGTTAAGAAGTTGGAATATCAAAATATGTGTACCTGTGAGGGGGTTCAGGGTCATTTTAATCCCTGGGAGACCTTAATGTCGCTGCACGAATGACTGCGGCTCTCTAAAAAGCACCCGTGTGCCGGCCGTGTTCATGGGTCAGCAGCCAGAGTCATTGTTCCCGACTGTTCACTGCACTGCCTCCCCTTTTGATCACTTACTCAGCCACCGCTGCACGGCTCCGCAGACATGGTCTGCCACATGCATACGGCAACTGTGAAGACGCCCTTCTTGCTTGGAAAGTGGAACATATTTTTGACATCGTCACACTGAATAGTCGATGTGTTTCTCATGGTGAGTCAGTCTTAATATGTGTTGTGTTGCTGGTGAACCCTCACGGGCTTTAGCATGGACAGCAGGGGGAAAAGGAAGTTTCAATCTTCAGACAGTTTCTAACTAAAGCTGTGGTTTGGTCAAGGCCTCAATATCCTATTGCGCTCACATCTGTATGATATTCATATACATGTACAGTATATTACTTAGACTGCATTATGCTTTGGGGGCAGCTGTAGATAAACGTTCATTGGCAAGTA